CTAACCGTGCTCCCCAAGGCCTTATCTGCTAAAGGAGCCAGAGCTCAATACTACCAACCTGAGCCCCAAGATTCCAGCATCTGGACCATGGTTTGACAAAGTGTACCCAAAGCCCTTCACCCCGAGACGCGTGTCCTTTCCACAGTGCTCCGTTAATTAATTCACTGTGTGCTAACACTCCCCACTGCCTCAGCTCATCCCAACATCACTCCAGACTCCATGTCCAAAGCTTCACCTGAGTCCTAGGCAGAGGCTCCCCATCTTTGAGCCTGTACAACAGAAATACAAGTTCCAAAGTTTCCAGATGACTGTGGAATAGGCACGGGTAAGCATTCCTTGATTGCCAAGTGACACGTGACACTGGCCTGCATAAAGCTGAGACACAGCAGCTCAGACATTAGACCTTAAACCCCCAAGCCTGGTACTTGGTGCACAAAGGCTGGGGTGTGGGTCCCCATGGCACCGGGCACCCCTGCCCCAGAGACTGCTGGGTACAGCCCTGAGACTGCTGAGTGGCACTCTGTTTTCTCAGGATGCCAAGAGCAGTGTTCTCGCTCCCACCACTCCACTATTCATTCCAGAGGAAACTCAGCAAGGCTCCTCCTCTCCCTCCTATGCCTGGCCCTCCAGGCCTCCACGGGAATCTGAGTGGTCTGATGGAAGCCAGCACGATCGCATAGTGCTTGTGTTCTGCCTGCTTGCAGAATTAGGGTGATGTGGTGACAACACCAATCCTGCCACCCACGAGACCTGAATCCTGAGACAGTGCTGGCCAGTGACCATGTAGAGTGCCCCATGTCTGTTTCTCACAGGCATTGTGCTCATGACAGAAAGGAAAGCCTTGCTGGTTTCTGAGATTCTCTGCAGGACTTTTCCCTTTCTCTGGATGATCAGCATCTGCTTCCCTTTCACTCGCACTCCTTGCTTTAGCAAGCCGGGGCTCACCATCTTGCTGTGAGCTTGCTCTTTGCCCAGGTGAAACTTGTCCAGATCTTCCCACTCAGTTTCACTTTGCCCTCAAGTCTCAGAATAAATCCCAGTGCTCTGATGGTCCGATCTGTCTTCTACCAAAGATTCTGCTCACAGGTCCCGCTTTGGCCTTCCACAAATCCTGGGGACATGGATACAGTGAACCCCAGTCCTTTGGGATGCTGCAACAAGAATGCAGTGTATTTCAATCTCCAACTGGAATAGTTCTCATTTCTGTCAGCACTCTGGTCACGACCAATTGTACAGTGTCTTGGAGGCTTTCTCTAAGCTTCTCGTCTCTGGGTATCTCAGCAATCAACCCTAATACTCCATTTATAGCAAGAGAGATGGCTTTCCCAGCCTGCTCATCTAACCCAGGCCCTTCACCCATTTCTAAAGGTGCTTTCTTATTGTCCAGTACCATTATATCTGTAATCTTACTCTGCAGAACCAATTTTCTGTGTTAGTCCATTTTTTGTAACTATAAAAAAAGAAAAAAATCATGAAGCTTGGTACCCTGTACAGAAAAGATCTTTATTTAGTTCCTGGTGTGGAGGTCCCAGAACATGCCAGCAGCACCTGCTGAACCTGGAAGGAGCCTTCTTGGCTTGTCACAACATGGAGATGCCGTCCTGGTGGGAATGCAAGTGGATGGGATCCATGGCGAGGGCGCAAGAAGAGCTCTAAGCTGAGAAAGCCAAACTGCCTCAGAAGGAAGGACCCATTTTGATAGAAACTCACTCTCTCTGAGACCAGCATTAATCCTGCTCCCCGAGGAGCCCCGTGACCTAACTGCACCCCCAGTGACCTGGACCATTACCCATGGTCTGTCCACGTGAATGGATAAGACAGGTCCAGCAGAGTAGCCGAGCACAGCTCTGTCTGAGTCTGTGGCTGACTGAGTGTAGGTCAACGGCTGGGAGCAGGAATCCAATCCCACCCAGGGGGTGGTGGCCTCATCCCTCAGGCTTGTACCCTGGTCAGGGGCCAGGGAGGGGAGGCGGTATGCTCATTTTGGTTGAGGATCAGTCTTCACCATCGCCTTTGGACACTGGTCTCCAGTTTCTTTCATCTTGCAGCACAGAGCCCTTCCCCTGACTCCAGGCCTTCAACTTTGGGCTGGGGCTGCATCCTTCACCCTTCACATTCGGCAGCTTCTATTTTCTCTGGCTGCGGAACTCTGGAATCACCCTTCGTCCCAGTGTGCAGAGAGCCTTGGTGGACTCTCTACCTCTGATCCTGTAAGCCTGCCTAGTGAATCTGCCCCTGCCTCGTGGCACATATTCGCTCTATTGCTTCTGTCCTTCTGGAGAACACTAAGGCGCACCACCCCATCCCTCTGGATTCCGGCACCTCAACACCGCCATATGGAGGCCAGAGGAGTAACAAGCCACTCAGAACCTCAGCAACCTGCCTGGCTCTGAGACCTCGCAAGATGGCTCCAGCTTTCCGCTTTCTTTCAGATTTCACCCTCTATATTTTATCCAGCAGTCTCTTCAAGACATTATATGTAATTTATAACATGCATATAAACATTCTTCTACCGCCATCTCTTACCAAGTTCTACAACCACACCAACCTGTTGAGTATTCGTTCCAGCAGCACCCTGCTTCTCACAACAAAACCCAGGTTCTTTTGCTAAGGTTGCGGTCACAAAGTGCAGCAGCTGGGCTCCATTAAGGAATAGGAATGTGTTTCTCAGAGTCCTAGAAGCTAGAAGTCAGAGAGGAGTCAGCAGGACCAGGCAGGTTTCCTGCGAGACTCCCCTCTCGGCTTGCAGAAGGCTGTCTCATCGCAGCTTCTTTGCGCTGTGTGTCTGCCGCCTCATTTCCTCTCTTACAATAATGCAGCTAGGTCAGTTTAGGACTCGCCCTGAAAACTTACTTGAGTTATTCATGCAAATACCCAGGTCCAGTGCTGTCCTAGTCCGTGGTGTCAGGAGTGAGAACTTCACACGTGGAGTTTAGGGGAACAAGCTCACCCCATAACAGTGGACTGTGTGGGTTACCCACACAGTCACAGTCTATTGAATTCCCCTTTCTTCTATTTGCATTATTATCTTTACTACCCATGTTGAGGGGCTCTGGGATGGCAAGATAGCACCTTGATTTCAAAGAAGGATTTCCATGCTCCGGACTCTGTTCTATGAGGTTCAGAGCTGCCTAGTCTTCTGCAGTGTCCAGAGAAGCAGCGAGGGCAGTTCGGCCCACTAAAGGAGGTGGCTCAAAAATGTTAAGGAGCAACAAACCTGCTTAGGGTTTACATCCAAGAAATGCTACAGCAGAGCTTAAAGATCGTCATGGCATCTCCACTGGCCACAACGTTCGCCTCTTCCTTCTGAATATCCTTCAAGGGTGAATAAATTCTCCTATCAAACCTGGTCTTCTCACTCTGAATACTTTGTTTTCTTTCCTTTTTTACTGAGACCATGGAATCCAAAGTAAAAGTTCAGTGAAGTATTATTGCCTTATGATTGATTGCAGCAAATTGTATCTATGTATAAATATTTTATGCTACTCAGAGTCTTGAAGCTTCTTTAGTCTTCCTATCTTTATAAGTAGCATTAAGAAAATTTCTTTAGAATATATTCTGTTAAAATACCATTTCTTAGTAAGCAGCTGTTGGATATTTAAACATTCATGACTTCTGTGAGTTTTGTATTGTACAAGTTCTCTAAAATCTGATCAAATGAGAAAGTTTCACAAAGCTGTAATTACATAAATGAGATTACTTTTGTTTCCATAGGAATATTGAATTGTAATGAGATTCACTGCTGTGAAATGATGATATGCTAACACATCTTAGGAAGTAGTTCTGCAACATAATATGCATATTAAAATCTTCCTAATTCATCATAAAATATTAATAACCTCTATAAATTTTGACATTCATTTCTGTTTCTGATATACAACAATCATGTTTACAAGTATGGAAACAATTAAATGATATAACATTTTTAGTATTTAAAAAAATCATTAATGGAATTATTTTTTTTAAATATTATCCTTATGGGCCGGGGATTTAGCTCAGTGGTTTTGCCCCCTGCTGTGCAAGTGCAAGGACCCAAGTTCAATCCCCAGTAAAAAAAAAAAACAAAAACTATATTACCCTTATTAAAACACTGACTAATTTTCTTTGTGTGAAAATATAATTTCACCAGCTATAGAATTTCATTTGAAAATGGCATCACTATGCATATTAGTTTAAAGTTATTTTCAAATCAACAGCAAACATTCTTATTCATATTCTCTATCACTTTTAAAGCATTTCTGTTGTGTTTATTTTACCTGAAGAATTGCACACCCGGAGGTTTATATTGTCTTCTCACTCTTTTTATTGTTGTATGCTTGTAGATGGTGAGTTCTGTGCCTCTTGTGTGGAGCTGGCCCACACACGTAACACATCTGCATTCTGTTTTCATCCCCTTTCCTTCTCCCTTCCCTACACCACTTGATCCCTTTCCCATTTTAGAAAGATCCATCTCCTTACTTCCTATTATCTATATTTTATTTCACTTTGTATTTATAATTTGGTTTTTTCATATAAAAGAAACCATGTGATACTTAGCTCATGTGTCTGATTTATTTCACTTAACATCATTCTCCCAAGGGGCACACAATTCCCTACAGAAGGCAAATGAAATAAGATAAAAGTTGACATGGAATAATTTCATCTGGACATTTTCTTGTCTATAACAAGGAAGACATGGAAAGTTACAATGGTTTGATGAGAACATAGTAAAAAATTTGGACAACTAAAATAAAATCAAGAGTTCTCTACATATGAAGGCCAGTAAGAGCTTTGAATGAATAGCATTTCATAGCCACAACATGTTAGGCACATACATGGACTTTATACAAACTACCACCATAGCTATACATATATTATATACGCACATTGTAATATATGTATACTAGTTAGGTTAAATATACATATTATATATGTATACTAGTTAGGTTAAATATAAATATATATATATATATATCAGGAAATCTAAGATAATAAATTTCCAACAACTTCAGTGTCTTTCATTTCTCTAGTATGGGTTTATAATTACAATTATCTCTTAAACTTTCCCAACAAAGGGAACTGAATTTGAACATAATGTATTACGTGCACATCATCAAGATTATAATGCTTATTTTTGTGAGAATGATGTTCTCTAATAACAATATTTTTGGCAAAACAAAAAATATTAGTCTTCATGACATTTGTTTCTGAGTGGTACAGAGCCAAGGGAGTGTAACCAATATATTCGATGCATTTCATTTTGCACAGAAGCAGGCTCTGAAATTCAGTTTTCACATTGTTGGCACAAAACCACTTATACAATAAAGTTATATTGTCCCAATCATACCATGATGAGAAGCCAAACATTGCATCTAGAAATAAAAATTCAGCTGTTGCCGCAGAAGTGAAAGCACATGCATTTTTAGCACCCTGATTCATCATTAGTCTGTCTGAATGGCCATTGAAGGTCTCAAGCAGTCTTTCTGCACGGTGCCTGCTTCCATGGTCCCTGTGTGCAGCCTGGCAGCGCATTCCTCCACTCTTCTCTTTGATGCAGCGTGGAGCACTGAAGAGCACTTCGTGTAGGCAGCTTCCCCACAGAGTGATGAATGTTTCGTCTTGCCAGTCCCCAAGCCCTCCCCTTTTCTGCTGTTTCTTTCTTCTTTTTCTCCTTTTGTCTCATCTGCACAGGCATGGGTGCTTCCCCCCTAAGAGAGCAAACAGAGCAGCATGTCTTCCATAGTGATCGACTGCTTACTAATGTTTTATTTGAAACACGTACCGTGGAGTTGTTTTTGTTCATCAGAGTAATTCTTGTGTCATAGTGAAAGTCTGAATTTGAAATTTGGATTATTATATGGCTTTTTGATCAATGGTCCCTTCCTCTCCTGAACATAAGAACAGGGTAGAGAATGCCAATGAATATTATTCTTCTGGGTAATGCGAAAGCATATGCACATAATAGTGCTGCCAAATGGAGCTCATAATCATAAAATTAGGACCTCGAGTAGCCTTTGAGCAAAATGCTCTGAATCTCAGTGGGTCTTTTCCCTTAATCACCATGGACTTGGTCTGTAGCCTCTACCATCAGCCCACCCACCAACTAACACAATTAATAAAGGCAAAGTAGGTTCCATCCCAGCACTTGGACTCCATTTGTAGCTGTCACAATGCTTTTTTAAACCTGTCAATTTTTATTTGAAACAATAACACTGTCATATCTTGAGATAATACTTACTTTTGTCATGTAATAATAATAATAATAATAATAATAATAATAATAATGACAATAATGCTAATCATTGCCGAACTCTATTTTCTACTTTAAAATGACAAGAATTGTGCTAACCATTTGCTCATTTGTTGAGTGGTGACGGAGACTGTATAATCCCCATTATACATTCGTAAGACCCCAGATGCAAAGTGATGAAGGACTCACTCACAGTCTTTCAAGGATAGAAAGTTTGGCTCTTGTCTTAAACTGTGATTGTAGTTCATGATGGGTGTGCAGTGAAGATAAATGAATCTGAGTCTTTGCAGATCAAACAACACAATGTCAAATCACACGACTCCAGGTATCTCTAAAAAGATACTAAGACTTCAAGGAAATAAAACATAGATGTATTGATTACTATTTTAAGTCTTTAACAAACCTAACTTTCAAAAATACAGCGTAAACTAAGCATGTGGACACTGGGCCAAGGCTCGTCACCACAGTGTCTCCACTCACTCCTGGAAGAGCCCATTCTGTCTTCTGTGCTCACAGCTCCAGTCCATTTCTCTCTCAGTGGCAACTTCCTGTGTCTACGTCATCAAATCCACTTGGAGGCAATTTACAAAGGATTGGAAATGTTTACATTTCATATTAAGCAAAATCTTTAGACTTCAACTGCTGTTTATGCAACACCGTGTTTCAAGAGAAACAGAGAATTCTCAACACCTAGTGATTCCTTCGGGTTCTGAATGCATAAACCGTACTACTGGAGTCCTGGTTTAATTTATTATTTCCCTCCGTGTTTAAGAAACAGTGTCTGGCAGACTATCAGGACACTGGCTTCTTCACATGCACCATGTAGATATTGTTCCTAGAATTCTGTCATTGTTGACTTTAAATTTTCCTAATTTTCCAGTAAACTTGCCAAATGAGTACTCTAAAAAGAAAAGCCTAGCAGAAAAACAGCCCTGGCCAGGTCCCCCCACCCCCGCCCCCAAACACTCTGATTTCAGATCACTTGGAATGTTTAGCTGTAAAATATTAACTTTTACAGTTCTCATACAGAGAACACTCTATGTGCTAAAATAGAGATATTTACAAAAATTGATCATTTAAAGAGAAGTCATTGCTCATTTTACTCCTTAACCAGTGACGAAAAAATATTTTGATTGACAATTGCTTGATTCAGTAAGTATTTTTGAGCCCTCGGTGGGTATTAATGTTTTAAACAAAATAGATACGTGAGAAATCATTTATGTGAATAGCACATGGGAACATCATGAAAATAATCATTTCTTTATGCATAATTCAATTCACATTCCTGTTTGACTGGATTATTGATAGTCCCTGTGTCCACATGAGAAAATGCAAATGACGGGTTTGACTATTTCTGAGACCTTTCCACTTATTACAAGACTACTCCATTCTTTAGCAGAGAGTCCACTGTGCCCGTTTTCCCTTGGCCTGGAATCTCTGTCCAGGACAGTAAATATCCCTGGCCTCCACTCACCTGAGAAGGATCAGTTGGCCTCTCGCCTTGCTTTGAAGAGGAACTTATTCTGTATCCTAATAGCATGCGATATCCAGGTTGTCCACTTTGTCTAGGTTTGAAACAGTGAGACGAAACCCTTGTAGCAACATTAACACTGCCTTACCTGGAATGCAGATGATAGAAAGCAGAAGCATGAGGTCATGGAATGAATGATTCCAGGGAAAAGATGAAGGCCATCGACTCCAAAATGTAAACATTGTTGCAAGATCACACATCTGCCTATCTTATCTTGGTTTTCCCCTCTCAATATACTCACGTAGGGTAAAGGATCTTGAAGTCCAGGTAAACGATTTTCTAAAACCCTTTGTAACTAGTGGCGTCTACAGCTTCCATTTCAGCCATGGAGAGGCTGAGGTGGGGTTTCTGGGAAAGTTTTCTCTCCCACACCAAAGAGAGATGATAAGGAAGTCCTATAGTCTCCACTCATTCCTTCCTGTTTTGGAAACATTCCTTTCAGAAATTTATTTCTGTGGTTATGGAAGCTCTTTGGACACGAGAAGCCAGGCCACATGCCCCCACGCTGGGGCTGAGTGAAGGACAAATGCTTCCTGAGTCTGGACCCTGCTGTGCTCCCAACAAACTCCAAGCTTCCTTTCTTGGGGCCACCGTGGCCCAAACGACACACATTCTTCTGCTGTAAGCTGGAAATATGGTCAAGCGGGAGAGACAGTAATGTGTGTAATGGCTGATACGTTTTGTGAATACATCAGATGCTATTAACTTGGCTAAGTACTTTGCCACATTGCCTCAACGAAGGCTCACAAGAATACAAGGGACACACTTCCTGGTGGGGTCCCGAGGCTCAGAGGTGCAGACGGCAGCCGAACACACAGCTGGGCAGTGAAATCCTCAGCCTTCACAATCAGGCAGTCTGATCCAGAAAAGCATCCTGGGGAGGAGAAAAGAAGCAGCTGAAGACGACAAATGTGCAAACATCACTGAATTCCTTACAGTGCAAGAGTTTCCTGCAGCACTGTACCAGCTGACATCTCCAAGCAGGGGACCCGGTCCATAGGGGGCACCACGGGGCTGTGAACTTCCTTCAGCCTAGTTGGTACTGGGCTGGCCTGAGTGTCTGGGGAGGGAGGTCTGGGTGACTCCTCTCCTACCCGAACACCACTGCTGGGTTCCCTGGGCCACGAACCCCTCCCTGGAGGCCTGAACAGGAAGCCGGCTGGGGAGTGGGCCCACAGGCCCATGCGGTTTGGACTTTCTTTCTTGGATCATCAATATCATTTTTTCAGATACTCCAGTCAGCTAATAACACACTGGCGTTTGGCTTGGCAAATGTTTTTATTTTTCAAAAGGTGCCATAGATTGTTTGAGGAAAAATTATTGAAACTGAATATTATAATTTAACTTGAGACCTTTTGGTTTTGTTTTTTTTTTTTTGGTACCGGGGATCGAACTCAGGTCCTTGCACTTGTAGGGCAGGTGGCAGTAGCACTGAGCTAAATCTCCGGTCCTATTATGATTTAACTTCACTCACAAAAACTGTTAGTGATGCAGAAAACAGCGGGACAGTGCTGTCGTGGTGTCTGTGTGTACTTACTGTAAAGGAAGAGTTTGCTGTCCAGAAGTTTGTACAGAATGTTAGGATGCGAATACCGTGCTCATTGGTGTGCAGTTACTCTCAGGCCACTGCCTTCTGTACCTCCCTCTGTGTATGTTCCATGCAAGCTTTATCAGTCCTTTTCAAAGCGAAGAAGCAAAGAATTATAACTAAAAATCACATTGATAATTGCAGCTGATTTCCAAGAGAAAGGTGGGAAATCAAGAGAAATTTTAATTTAGTAGCTAATTTCAGGTTTTGATTGAAGTCTGCACTGGTGCTTTGATACACAAAGAAAGTAAAATGATTAATCTTCATTTCCATTGTACTGACAGAGGGAAATTTTTAACAGATATCTGAAAGGTATAAGAAAGGATGAAACATAAAATATATTTGATTAAAATATTTGTTCTTAAGAGGAATTTGAGTGAAATGCATAAAATGTGCTAGCAGACAGTCTGCCTTATTATTTCTTTCTCTGAGAGACTGGTTGAGACATGTCATAATCTCTCCTTTATCTTTATTAGGTTTCCTCTTCTTATGACCCAGCTCTCAGAAAAGAAGGAATAAATGAGAGTTTCAGGTCTTTCAGAAAATAATATTCTTGAAGATGGTGTGTAATTCCTTACCTTACATCCTGTACTGGGTACACTGTTGGGTTAATGTTCTTTCTCTATTCGTGCTTGTGTATGTTCACCAAATATTTCCAGCAGAACCTGAGAAAGGAGGTAAATAATTGTACACCAAATCCTGGTGGGTTCTTTGCTTTCCCCAAAGAGCACAGCAGGCCCTGCATGGCCACAGTCGCTGCCCTGTTTTGCAGCTTCCCATCCCTGGGTCGCGAATGGGCAGGACTTGGTCACCAAAGAGAAGGTGAAGAAAGGAGTGGAAGGAAGCAGGACTGGAGCGCTGGGACAGGCACAGGGAGGGGACCCACTCAAGCTTAGGACTGTGCTTCTACTGGTGCCTCAGGTTGAGGTCAGTGCAGTCTATGTGGTCTCTCCTTGTCCCCATCCCTCTGTGGCAGGTCGTGGGCTCTCTTGGTCCCCTACACCGAAAAGCAGGTGTCTCCCTGTGTCAGCACCTGCTCCCTCGCCTGCCGCCTCCCCATGGCCATGGCTGGACAGCACAACCCCCAGCCACCTTCGCAGTCAGATTCCCAGTTCTGTAACAGGCAAATGCACGCCCTTAGGAGGCTTTGTGGCCACTTGATAACAGAGTGACTTTCTCAGAGTTTGCCTTTACACTTATATGTTTAACCTACCTATGAAATACAGATAGATAGGTTTTATATATATTTATTATACTTATGCACATATCGTCTGTATTCACACGTGCAATATAAGTATAAAGCATACATAAAACAAACTGAATTGGAACATTTTCTAACTACGTTTCCCATTTCTATCCAATATGATCATTCAATGTCCAATATCCTGCTAAATTATAAGCTTTTCTGCATAATTTCCCACATGTATAAATCCTCCAAATGTTAGGATATGTTTGCCTATAAATGCAAAACATTTTAAAAGGTGAGGTATATCATAAATGTTTTAAATTGTTGATTTAAAAGTATTTGTTGGGATAAAGCTCTTCTATTGATGGAAATAAAAATGAACTGGTAGAAAAAATAAGAAAAATGTGTGTATAGATAATTCAGACAACAGCAAATCCCCTGAAAAAATAAATAGGTCTACTAAATACCAGGGAAATGCAAGGAAAAACAAAGATCACATTCCTGTACTTCTAATAGCTTCACTTCTGGAATCATTAAGTGGTGATATAATGGAGTCACTCATAAATTATTTTAAGATAAATTGAGCTGATTGATGTCTGTAGTATAATAATAAAGAAAGAAGAAATAAAGTAGCTATAAGATTTTTCTGACCAACAAAGCAAAAACAACTCAATGATGCATATACAAGTTGAAGATAGTATTTGAAGATAATTATTTGTACCTAGTTATAATAATAAACCATGAAACATTAAAAGATGCAGGAGGAGATGTGTGGGAGATACATTACTTTTGAAGACTAGAGATTTCAAAGGGTATTTTCTTTTTTATAGACAATTTTTAAGGAATATTTTTGGTTGCTGAATTTTTTTAAATCCTTGTGCTTAAAGTTGTGTTACAATCCCATTTTATTCAAAAGAGAAGCAATTCTTCTAAATTCCTGTAATGTTGAGACTTTATTTCTCCCTCATCTATGCAAGCTTCCTCTTCTTTCTTTTCTGTCTATTCAGAGATTTAGTTGCATTGATTAATAAATTGAAGATCCTGTATTGTTAAGCATACACAGAAGTCTTCTTCTGAGAAAGAACATTTGGAGCAACAGTGCTTTCAAAATGAAAAGAGGAATACTTCATTTTACCAACCGGAACATGGAGCATCCCATAATGTGCCACGGAACTGTCCTGCCTGCGTGTGAAGGGAAGAATTCCCACTGGATTCTGTCCACAAAGAGTTCAGAGGCGAGCAGACTTCTTTCCTGGTTAAGGGAGAGGAAAGGTGGGAGCAGACCTCAGTGAGCCCAGTAATGGAAAGCAAAGTAGGAGAGCAAAGGGGAGCGGCCAGGAAGGAGAGTGGGCAGAGGAAGGGGGACTTCACCCCACCGCACACCTTGCACTGTCGCAGTCAGGGAGGCTGTGAGCACTAGCGAGCGCCCGCTCCTCTCCCGGCTCTGTGCAAACCCAGCTAGGTTGGACCACTCAGCCTGACGCTTAGCTCTTCCTAGCATAAATGTCAAACAGAAGCACAAGCAGGCAGTCATCTGTCCCACCTACAAGCAGAAAGAGCCAAAGAACACAGGTTTTACAAACAAGCCAGTGACTAAACTTCCTTGGCTTCATGTAATTGACGTAATTTTATTTTTTGATCATTGTTTTGGCAACGGATGAGGCCCCTGCTACTCATCTTTGTAGAGAACCTAGGCCGGTACCTCTCACCAGGTTTCGATGAAGCCCAGCTCCGGTCCTGTCCTTCTCCCGGGTCCTGCTTGATGGCCATTAAACAGATTTTATTTGCCCTAATTGGTGTTTGTGGCTGTCGCAGGCAGTTCTTGCACAATCAGTCAGGGAGCCTGCGTAGTTGATCCAATTTGTCTGGTAAGATGGGATAAGGTAGGACTCAGGCTTTCTTCTCTTGCGTGTTTTCCTAAGGGAAATGTACAGGTGTTAAGATGTGTGTGTGTGTGTGTGTGTGTGTGTGTGTGTGTGTTTTAACACTTTTATAATACAACTCATTCTATGAATTGGCAGCATGCTGGCTTATTTTTATTTAACCTGGAATCACCAGCAAAATTTTAATAGAAGTGAAAGAGAAGCAGGCATGTATTTCCAATATTTGTATAAAAATAGCATTATTTCATTTTAAAACAGCCATTTCAGAGAATTCTGATGCCAAGGAGCAGGAATCCAAATACCCAGCCGTAATCATTGCTGGCAAAGCTTTCTTTCCGGAGCCTCAAAATGACGCGCTGTTCCGTTATCAGAGTCTTCTCCATCACAGTGCGTACATACTTGATGTTTGTCAGTTATTTAAAAATAAATAATTGTGACGGTATTATTTAATTTAAAAGTAATATTGTGAATAAATTTCATACTTAGAAGAAGCAACTGTTTTACAGAAGTAGAAATTGTTAATTGAACTCTTACACTAATTAACTGTGTAACCCTGAATGACTCAGAAGTTCTCTAAGCCTCAATTTCTTCTTCTGTAAAAGTAATAGTAGAAACTTACTGCATCAGGAGACTTTAGAAAAATTAACAAGGTGATACATGCAGAAT